TTTTGTAAAAAAATCATTAGCCCAATTCACAATCCATTTAGTTAAACATTTTTCATTATTTAACAGCATTAATGCAAAGTAAAAACGATCGATGATATTATTTTTATCAACAATTCCATTTTCAACACATGCGTTGAACAATGCAATGTGTCCTCTAAACAAAGATGCAAATAATGCTAGACAATGACAAGAGAACTGCTCCACATCTTGATATACTATATTAGTTTTATCAGGTAATTTTTTCAATAATTCTTCTTGCTTTTACTGTAACCACACAACTAAACCCGAACCTTGTGTTATACGCCAGGGTAAAACAATAAACTCTTTGGCAAGCATCAAACTAGTTTTAGTTTTTCCGCATCCATAAGATTGCACAATTGCAAATACTTTTCTAGACTGAACATCAGTATGCCAACAAAGTCGTTTTATATCTGAAATAAGTTTTTCAAGCTGATTTCCTATAACACCTGGATAAGCCATAAATGAAATCGACTCGTAATATTTTGGAATTGATTTTTTAAATATGCTGTTAGTAGGGTGATTATCATTTAAAAGCTTTAACTCTTGAAACTTGGAGCGTATATTACTCATATCCATGTTGGTTGACAAAAGAATCACTTATATAATGATAATCACTTGCATTTTTGGCTAACGGTGTGTTTCGTATCTAAAATAAGTTTTGAATTTTAAAAAATCGCAGTCCTACCATACAGTTTATGTTCCGAGATCAGATCATCCAAATATGGTAATAATTTGATGTCATTCTAAAAAATATTCAAATAAGCATTGATTTCAAAATATAACTGGATAGCGTATCCGGCAAATTTTTTAAAACCAGTTTTGGCTTTTTGCCAAATTTTTTAAAACCAGTTTTCGGCAAATTTTTTAAAACCAGTTTTGGCAGTTTTGGTTAAAACCACGGCTGTTTCACTCAATATAAAAACGAGCGTGACGTCATGAGTTTATCAAAAAAAAACGTATTTCCGCATAAAAAGTAAAAAAATTCACAAACTTTAAATTAATAGTAACTTTTTTATATAAATGCTTTCATCTTGCATTTAAAAAAATATAAAAGATCTATCTTTCCTTGTTAAATAAATATTTACATTAATTGGTATAAAAATAAATATTGCCAAAATATTTTTAATAATTTAGAACCACTTTTCTAATTTTCGCATATTTTCCGCAAAACATGAGTTGGGCCAACTAAGATTTCATAACATAGCTCAGTGCTTGATAGTTGAAATTTGGAATGCTTAACCCTAAATGCCCATTCTATCAGATTCCTGCGTCATCCTAGAGATTTTTTTACAAAAAGACTGTTTTTAAAGCATTTATATTTTTTAATTAATCGTTTTTAAATGCAAAACATAAATTTTTTGATGGATGACGTAAGTTAATGAAATTTCAACCTTTTATGCAAATGAAAATAAAAAAATTATTTTACTTGCCTTCAGCTATGTTATGAAATATGTTTTCAAAAATGTCATGTTTTACAACTAATCTTGTTAGTTTTAGGCGTACATTTGTGTTGACGTTTTTTTTGCGATGACGTAACCTTTATGCGTTACGTCCCAAACTATTTATTAACGAATATTCTCCAAACAACTGTTTCGGCGAGTCAATTTTTGAAGTATAAAGTAAACAAAGTTACGCGGAATTTTTCTCTTTGGATTATCAAACTAATATCAGATAAGTTGTTAAATCCACTTTTATCTTGTGCATATATTTGTTAATTAATATTATTTTATTTGTTTTTATTATATTGATTAATAAGTCAATATTATTTTGATAACTATGTATTCAACTGAGAGGGAAATTCTAAAACAACATATTGGATGGAAAAATGGTTGGGAAGATAGGTGTAACTTTCCTTTTGTTAAGCGATTAATTAGGACAGATAAGATCAGTAACAATGTCATTTCCATTTTAATGACAGTCTTTAAAATAAGAAGTGATTTATTTAGTTTTATGAGTTTTCTTTTGCCAATTGATTTTGATATGCCTAGTAATGACGAGTTTGATAAAGTGTGCCTAAAGTTAACACGACAAAAAAAGAAATATAAAAAAAATTTTAAAGCTATAAAAAACGAAGAATTTTTTAAAATGCAACTGTCGCAAGCTCCACCCAAAAAAAAAAATCAGCAGATGCAGATGACTTTTTCACTTTAAATAACAGTCAGGAGCTACTGAATCAAATTGATCAATTAACTTCTGAAAATAAAACAAATATGGAGCAAATAGAAAAATTTAAAATGCAAGTATTTAAGTTGGAAGCTGAAATTACAGATTTAAATTCTAAAAATAGGGCTCTCAACACACATTGTAACTCATTAAGTTCTCAATTAGAGACTATGAGTATTAGGCTAAAACAAGAGGAGCAGTTCCAACTTTAAAAAAAAAAAATTAAAACAGCACAGCGTAAATTTGCATCTGCTCGTGCCAAAAATGTAAGATTGCTAAAAAAAATTATTATTGAAAAAAGAATTGCAAAAATTAGTGATTTAAGCCAGAACAGTTGCCAAATTTGCAAATGTTTTGCTAGTTGCAATAAGGATTTAGTTGTGGTTGATTCTTATTTAGACTACGACAACATTGGTTCCTCTGAATTATTTTGTGGGTTTAAAATAAGTAATCCACAGAATATATCAGTTAAAAAGCCAATAGTTAGTAAAAAATATACTTACATTAAGTTAGGAAATGGTAAACCTTATTCTAAGTTAGGTAGGCATGCTGCAGCTAAACGATCTAAACTTGCTTTTATATTCCTTCGATTATTAGCTTGTTCAGATTTAGAAAGTGATTTGTCTATGTTGTTTTGTGATTCTATGTCTTGTGAAAAGTCAGTATTTTATTGTGTTGCAAATAAGTTGGGTTTAGTTAAGCAGTTAAGTGTTTCTGATGCTGTAGAGCTACAGAGCCAATTAAGGATGCCCACGGCTGAATTCCGTAGACTAAGACGTATTCTGTGTAATCTTGGTGCAAGGATTCTCCCATCTGAGCCCAAGATGAGACAAGAACAAGAAATGCGGACAATGCATGTCAATAAAGAACATGTCACTGTGAAGTCCATGTTACTTTATCCATCTGCGAATGAAGCACCTTGTTTAGTATCTGTACTGATGGTCAAGAATTTGACAACTTATATTGAAGAGGTTTTTACTAATCTTTATGTACGCGACCACCTTAATTCGGATGTCGGTTTTGGCGAAGAAGTATGGCTCCTTTTTGCTGGTGATAAGGGTGGGAAATATATGAAATTCCATTTTGAAGTTGTCAATTCTAAATCATCAGGGTATGTATACGATGTTCACTTGTTTTGTATGTATCAGGGTTCAGACTGTCGTGAGAATATAGCCTTAGTTCTCGGGCATTTTGCCAACGACATTAAAAGAATTCAGTCGTCAGATTTTAAGCTAAAAGGCAAAATAATCAGGTTGTTCTTAGGTGGAGATTTTCATTTTATCGATGATGTTCTGGGACACCAGGGTTCAGCTGCTAGCTTTCCTAGTTCTACAGACCTAGTTAAGTTAAATTCTCTAAGAAACCATGCTTCTATGCCTCACACACCTGCTAATTGTAACATCTTAAGGAGGACAATACAATCTCTGGAAAGTGCTTACAATGAGAACTTGTGTGAAAATAGACAAGGTGGAAACCTAAGAACTTTAGGTAAGTTTCATAATTCAATTATTGCTCCTGTGATTTTCCCCATAATAACTTTAGATAATGTAGTGCCACCTGTTTTGCATATTATGTTAGGAGTTGTGTTAAAACTGTATAAGTTATTGTTGAAGGAGTGTAAGAATTTAGATTGTCAAGCTGTTTCGTCTTTGTCGCATAATGAGAATGTGAGAACGAATGAATTGTGGGCTGCTAAAAGCGTTGAATGTTCTAAAACAGCAGAAGCTTTACGTTTATTAGGAAATCAATTTGTAGACGTTGCAAATCTACAGGCGCGTCGGTTAGCTTTTAATAAAAATATTTCTGAATTATCTCTAAACTCCTCCAATAAAAAAATAACCTTTAAACAGCAAGAAATGTGTGATAGTATTAGGTGTTTAATTACAAAATACGATTGTAACATTGATTGGGTGCAGTGTGGTACGTGCCAAAAATTGTTTCATCAATTTTGTGAAATTATTGGTGATTCGGAAAAGAGTGTATTGTGTGACATTGAGAAGTATGAGTGTTTAGCATGTCAGGGTGAAGATATAGAATGTCTTGACCTTTATATTTCTGAAAAAATTTCTTTTATACGTGCACAACGCGAAGTTTTAGACACTGAGTATATTAAATTGCAGGTGGAGTGTGAAGACCTAGAAAAAATATCCAAAAGTAGCATGGGGACTCATGAGAGGTCTCTTAATAAGGCCCTTGAAGATATGAAGGTTGAGCGACAAGCGTACCACGGTAATGTGTTCGTAGGTAATCATTGCAAAATAGTCTTAAGAAACCACTATAAACTTTGTAGTGTTATTGATGATGAAGTTATTAAAAATAGATTTGTACGTGTGTTTAGTGTTTTTAATAAGTTGCAACCTATTCTATTTAAGCGAAAATTTCTTTCAGATGCCGAAATTACTGAGCTTCATCAATATATAAATTTATTTGCTATCGAATTTCATGATTGCTTTCCAAAAGAAAGTATCACGCGAAAAATGCATGAACTCATTTTTAATGTGCCACTATTTGTAAAATTGCATAAAACTATTGGGTTGCTGAGTGAAGAGGAGGGAGAGTGTTTGCATAATAGCGTAAATAAGGAATTAAGACAGTTGCATTCAGTAAGAAATCAGGAGCAAAAGCTGCATCTTGTTTTAAAACGCTTTGAATTGCACAGCAAAGCTGATAGGAAGCTTCAAGCCTCTAAGGTGAGAAAGTGTGTTGTGTGTTCTGAGCGTGGTGAAAATTCATTTTATAGACAAGGTCTTTGTCTTGTTTGTGGTCATCAAATTTAGTTAAAATATTTCAAAAATTAAAAACAACAACAAAAAAAAATTAAAAAGTAAGATAAATTATATGAGATCTTTAATTTGTATATAAGATAATTTTATTTTGTTCTAATATCTGTGTGATGTTAGTTTAAAATATTATTTTTTAATATATTGATTTTATATATTAGGTAGGTGCCCATTCTGTTCCTAGCTTCAGAAGTTATTTATACCTATGCAATACCTTCGCTCAGATTAAAGAATGGAATACTAGTCTTGCATCAAATGTATGTAAAAATCTAGCTTTTATATATTAACTTGTGATCAGAGCAACTACTATGTTGGTTGGGTATGATCTTTTATGTTTGTGTATTTAATTTAAAAGATGTATTGTTCTTCATTATATGTAACATTTTTTTATAGATATATTACATATCCATTCGATGTTTATCACCAGAAATTAGTTCTACCTTTGCAGTACCTCTGCTTTACATACCTCCTCGCTGGTTAAAGAATGGAATATAAATCTCATATCAAGTTGGTGTAAAAATTTAGTTCAATAAATTAAGAATTTATAAACGTTCTTAAAATTTTGGGTGGAGCAATTGTTTTTCTGGTTTAGCATGAGTATGAATCTGATATCAATTGTATGTACAAAGATAGTTTACTTCTTAAAGAACCTATCAGTAAACCAACTGATTATAAAACAGTTTTTAATGGGAATGAAAACAAATTTTCAAAAGATTTCAATTAGCTATTTGTATATTCAAACACTTTATTTACTGAGAGAAGACACTATAGATTCAAGTGCTATAAAATAATTTTACTACCAAAAGCGAGGTTAATTCAAAAACTGAAACTCAACTTTGGTCATGAATTATTTTATTAGACTTGGTGAGTCTTTATTTATTAACAACTTAACACCATATTATTAGAACTGTATGCACAGAAAAAAATAAATGCTTTAGCTTTAAATGTTTTGTCTAAATATTCCAAAATCGAAATCTGGCTTTTTATTGCAATGCAATGAACTTATTGGCTTAGGATAATAAGTTTCTAAAACAAGAACTTCTAGGTTTAAAAATGTACTCTTTTAACAGCTAATCCCCCTTTTAACTACATTTTTCATAACTTTGCGAAAAGTGCGGTTTGCTTTCAGACCTCATTAAAGTCTGTTTTTGCTATCCTTAAACAATAAAGTAAGGTTTTTTTGTTTTTATAATAGTCAAACAATGGGTATATTTGAGATTAACTATCAGAAATAAATTTTTCTGATTTTTTTTTTGATAAAAAGTAACATCAGATTACTTGAATTCAGCCAACGTCATCATTTGTCGCGATTTTTTTTAAACTTAAAGAAATTTTTTTACTAATGCATTAAATGTCATAAGATGAAACATTTTATTGGTGTTATTATTCTTTTTACAAAGCAAAATTATCTTGATTATTTTAAAAGTTATAGAAGTTTTAGTAACACCCTTTTAGTCAATATTTTCAAAAAATAACAAGAAGCCGTTAAGCTTGGTTTGAAACAGCCGTGGGCCATGGCCTCCCAAGATCCCAAGAGCGGCGTATTTGGTTGATTACAAATTTAGCAATATTTGTTGCGAATTTTTATATATTTTTTTATATAAAAATAAATGTACAAGCCTCAAATAAAAATACAATTTTTGGTTTTACAAAGCAATTTTTTTAGAAAGAAATACAATAATACATATTTACGTAAATTTCTAAAAAATATATAATATTTTGTTTAACAATACTGTTAGGCCGCTATGAGTTGCAAAGTTGTTTCCCGTCCCCGTCCACCTCGAATATAAAAATAATACAATTTTGTCCATTATTTGTTATATATATATATATATATATATATATATATATATATATATATATATATATATATATATATATATATATATATATATATATATATATATATATATATATATATATATATATATATATATATATATATATATATATATATATATATATATATATATATATATATATATATATATATATATATATATATATATATATATATATATATATATATACAGTGGGCAAAATAATTGTCCTTACATTAATGAAAAGTATCTATATTTGATCAAAACAACATTTAAAAGTATTTAGATAGTTGTAATGAAGAGTTTTTAAATAAATATTATAATATTAAAGTAATTTTAAAATATTAGTTAAAAATATATTAATATATGAAAAGTTAGATAAGTTTATTTGAAAAGAGTTAAAAGTTTAAACAAAAAAATTGTCCGTACACTATGTTAATTTTTAAATTAAAATTAGTTAAAATTAAATTAATATCTTGTTGAACCACCATCAGTTTCAATAACTGCTCTACAACGATTTTTCATTGATGATACGAGTTTAGACGTAATTTCTTAATTAATTGATGGACCAAACATCTAAAATCAATTCTTTGAGCTCGTTTTTATTCTTTGCAGCTCGATCTTTCATTCTTTTTTCCACCACCGACCATAAATGTTCTATAGGATTCAAATCGGGCGATTGTGCAACCCAATCCAACACGTTAATGCCAATTGCAGCACGATATCTGGTTACAGATCCAGCTTTGTGCTTTGGATCGTTGTCATGTTGGAATATAAATTCCGTTCCAGGTCCTAATTTTCCTGCCGAAGCCACCAAATTCCGTTCTAATATGGACCTCTATAAGTGTTGATCCATTTTCTCATCAATAAATTCAATTTTGCCAACACCGGACGCACTCATGCAGCCTCAAACCATAACATTTACACCACCAAATTTAAATGTTGCCTTCAAACACTTCACATTATATTCTTCTTCGACTCTTCTATAAACTTTAGCACTACCATCAGCTCCATATAAATTAAATTTACTCTCGTCTGACCAAATAATCATATTACAGAATGTATCATCCTTCAAAACATGTTCCTTTGCCCACTGCAACCGTTTTCTCTTGTTCACTATGCAGATGAATGGTTTTCTCCGAGGCGTCTGTGCAAAAATATTGGCTTCATACAGTCTGTTCCTAATTATTTGTGGCAATAATTTAACATTTAATTCATTTTCCAGCTCTTTTGATACTTCTATGGCATTTTTTCTTCTATTCTGCTCGATTTTCCCAACTACGCACCTGTCAACTCTTGGCGTCGTTGATCTTTTTCTGCCTCGTACACAGTTATTTGCCAATGATTTTTTTTTTAAATACTTTTCCCATATATATTGAACAGAGCTTGGTATTATTTTCAACGTTTTTGCAACTTTTCTAATTGATAATCCATTTTCCCTATTAAAAATTACTCGTTTACGTAAGTCAATAATATATTCTTTTCTTTTTCTATCCATCATAGCCACGTAGTTAAGAAAAGGTTTATTTTTATTTATCATAGTATTATTTAACCTAAAAGTGCAAGATATTAATATAAAAATCACTTATAAACAAAATTTTACCTTTTAAATCAAATGTACGGACAATTTTTTGGAAGTTCCTTAGGCGTTGTTCGTAGTGAACTGCTATGTTTTTCAAAAAATAAATTTGATTTTTTAAGTTTTGAAGACAATATTCAAATTATTTGCGACTTCTACAATGAAGAAGAAATATTTGAAGCCAAAACAGTGATGTGTCAACTTCTTCCTGAAAAGCGTATTGTAAAAAGACATGGAAGTGATAAATGTACGAAAACCGTGGAAGATTTGTTAAAGGTGCTAGACCCTAATAATAAGTTGCCTAGTTTTTATGTAGTGAATTTATCTAGATTGCCCCCACTTGGAATAGAACATATTGATATTAGTGCTTTGCTCCAGGAGGTTACTTATCTTTGATCAGAAGTAAAACAATTTTTGAGTTTTCATAATAAAATGAAAATTATGATGAATACAATGAACTACTATGTTTTAAATGAAAACCAAAGTCAACAGACCAAACTAAATTTGTCGATGATGAATACAGTTAACCAACATGTATTATATGAAAACCAAATTCAACATGCTTATAAAAATCTTAACAGCAGTCAAACTCTTAACAATGCTTACTATCCTCACCTAACAAAAGAACAACCTATACGAATACAAGCAGAAACATCAGTACGTCAATTATACTCAGATATTGTTAGAAATGGTATTCGAAAAACAATCGATAAAAAAAAAGGTATTTAAAACAAATAATCTTATTTTAGGTTCTTCTGATTCCAATAAGCGACTTAAACCTACACTAAACAACTTGTCTAAAAGAAATGTTGATATTTTTGTTTCACGACTAGACCCTCTAACTACAGAGAAAAATGTTATTGATTGTACCTATGATATTTTGCAAATTGAAAATGATCACTTTGTAAAATGTGAAAAGTTAAAGTCTAAATATCCTGGATACTCTTCATATTATATATCTGTTTCTGTTGACCATTCTCAGTTAAAAAGTAAAGTAGATTGTCTAATGTCAAATGAAGCCTGGCCAAATGGTCTACTTGTAAGAAGATATTTTAAACCGAAAAATGACCAACAATAATAGCTTATCTTCTATTATTATTTTGGTGAAGTACAAAGCGGCCAACCTAACTGATGTGAACAATTACAGGGCGGTTGCACTATCCCCAGTTATATCCAAAATATTTGAAAATATTTTGTTACAAAAAATAAATATACCAGACAATTTAGATGATTATCAGTTTGGTTTTGAACAAAAGCATTCTACAACCTTTTGCACAAATTATTTAAAGAAAGCTATTAATTACTACCCATCTAGATGTAGTCATGTGTTTACATCGTTTATAGATTTTAATAAAGCATTTGGTAACGTTAATTACTGGCTTCTGTTCTGTAGCCTATAAGATTAAAGAATACCAAAAAATATTGTAAGTCTGCCTGCATTCTGGTACAGCAACCAGGAAAAGTGTATTAGTTGGCAGAATGCTAAATCTCCTGCTTTTAGTATAGGAAATGGTGTGAGACAAAGTGGTGTTTTATCAACGTTACTATTTAGCTTTTACATTAGTAATCTTGCATTTAAAATATCAAATATGCGTATTGGTTGCAATATATAAGAGATTTTTCTCAATATTCTTGCTTATGCTGATGACATAGTACTAATAGTTCCATTATGGTTGTCTCTACAAAAATGACTGAGTACAATTAATACTTGATGCCTTATGAATTAATATGTCTTTTAACACAAAGAAGACAGTTTGTATGGTTTTTAACCCTAAACAAAAATCAAAATTTGCGTCGCTGTCATTTCCAAAAGTGTAGCAGGTTGCAATCTGGAATTTTCTGACAGCTTTAAATACCTTGGTCATATTGTGAGAAACGATCTAGCAGATGATACTGATATAAAAAAAGAGATAAAAAATCTATATACTCGAACAAATATGCTGATAAGGCGCTTTTACAGGTGTTCAAGCCTAATCAAAGTAAGACTATTCCAATCACATTGTATATGTATATATAATGCTTCCCTATGAAACAGTTTTAGCACAAGAACGTTAGCACACCTACGATATTGCTATAACAAATGTTCAAAAATGTTTTTTGGATATAGAAAATATTGCAGTCTGACTCAGATGTTTTTAGAGTTAAAGCTTCCAACTTTTGAAACTATTTTATTTAACTATAGGATCAATTTAAAGAAACAGCTTGTTGAATGTGCCTGAAGAAACCTCACTTACAGTTTAATTAACAGAATATTAGGACTTTCCAAGTGATGGATAATTATAGATGACTCTATCTGTTCTTTTTATTGACTAATATTTTATTTATTTTTATTTATGGACCTTGCGCCTATTTATATGTACATGTTGTTTGAATTAAATGCATTAATAATAATAATAATATTAATAATATATATATATATATATATATATATATATATATATATATATATATATATATATATATATATATATATATATAATTGCTTATTACTAAAAAGTGTTTGATAATCAATGCTACCTTATATGCAGTATATTTTCTATATTTAGAAAAAAAG